CCTGGGACCCACGGGCGTCTTAAGGAGCTAGCGGCACCACCTTTTCATCTCTGCAGCTGCAACCCTTGCAAGCCGTGACTGGAGAGGGGCACATGGATCCCTCCTGCACCTGAAGTCGCAAATATGGGTCAGGCTTGTCTCTGTGGCCACCTCTTCACTTCAGTGCATTTCACGTTATGGCCGCGGAGCGGCGGCCTCAACTGATGTCTCCACGGAGGCAGCTACTGCCAAGGGGGCGCCCACGGACTACCCTTCCTCCCTCCGTGAAGCCCTGGCTACCTTCCCAGATTCAGGTCCGGCAGGGCCGTGAGAGTTTTGGTTTCGCCCATGGTTCACTGTCCACGGCCCCAAGGAGCTGCCGGCATAAAAGTCCATGGGGTAGGGATCCTGCCAGGAAATGTCCCTCAAGGCCACGGCTGCCTAGCGGAGGAAAACCGGACAGTAATACTTGCCAACATTTTCTTGAGCTCGGATTACTGAATTCAGTTCTCACAAGGGACTAAGAAGGGTGTATTATTCTCAAACAGCAGAAAGTAAATGTGAAGCTCAGAAAGGTTCAGCAACTTGCATAAGGCCACTCAGCAAGAAAGTGGCTCAGCTGAGGGACTCACGAGAGAAGTCAGAACCTGTGAGCAGAACCAAATGCTGTCCACCCGCTTCTTTGAGGTACAGAGCCTACTGTCCCATGGATTTTCAAAACTTGATGTTACCTCATAGGGTGTCAGCAATGGCTTAGAGAAAGCCATGCCCCAGTCAATGGAGAGGCGAGGACATGCCACCTGCACCCACCTGGGAAGAGAAGCGTGGTCAGACCTGAGGTAGGGGTCTTCCTGTTCCTGGGTAGCATGCTGAAGAACTCAAGTGTCTCCAATACATCCCCATGAATAATGGGACTTTGATCTCAAACTCACAGCAATCCATATGCTGGGTTTACAGGTTTGTGCTACCAACTCTAACAATAGGATTTGTCAGTCTTAAAGACTATCACCTACTGCAGTTTAGAATACTATACGGCTGCTTGTTTTCTCCTGTTGCTTCCTTTGACTTCACTGAGGGCAGCTTACCTGTGACAGTATTTCCAGAACCAAATTTAGTACCTAGTACAGCTCAGGCACAAAACGCCCCTCACTCATCTCACCAGAACTACTGTGATGTTACCTCTGAGCCTCAAGAAAAGACAAAGCAAGTGACCTAAGACCAAGGGTAGGCCCTCCCTGGGAAATTCTTGGTAAACATTAAGATTTCATGACCATGAAAGCAATTCCCATTGACTGCAGGCTTTGATTTGCTAAGCAGGACCCAGCTTTTAGCCAGAATCAAGCTAGGTAGATGAGGTGAAAACTCACACATCCACCGCAGGAAGTAGGTTGAGCTTGCTGGGGAAGATCTCAGAGAGCAGCAGCCTCACAAAGGGAAGCCCCAAGGCTCGAAGTCGAGATTCCAGATGCTGTTTGTGGAAAGGGAGACAAAACTGGGGTCACAGTGATCAGCCAAAGATAAATCCCTTAGCTGACTGATTTTCCCAGCTGGGTTTTTGCTCAGCCCCCTTCTCCTGAGGCCATCTCAAGCTCGCTGACCTCCAGGATCTTGGGACTGCCCTGACGGCCCAAAGTGCCCAGAATAAGACCCCATGACTTGGCTGAGCGTGCAGTGGCAATGGCTTCCTGGCGAGCAGCCTGCATGCGCTGGTGGTCGTAGTGCTCTCTGGACAGGACTTTGCTGTAGGGGTCATACCTAGAAAAGAAGTTGCCAGGGTTACTATAACAGGTACTCCTAAAACTCTTGCCCCATGCAGGTAATTAAGAAATCATGGGGGCTGGTGAGATGGCTCAGTGGTTTAAAGCAAAACACAGGGACCTTGGTTCAATCCCCCAGCACCACATGCCAGCCAGCCCCGCCCCCTGGTGGGCTGAGCTGGCCACACACACACACACACACACACACACACACACAAATAAATAAATAAATAAAATTTAAAAAGAAATCAGGCCCCAGACAAGTACAAGGATTGCCAGTGGAAGGATCAGTCCCATAGATGGAGCAGGCAAGAGCTGAGGAGGTTCTTAGGATCTTAATGTGAATCCCAAGGGTCAGCCCGGTGCAGCCCATACCGGTAAGCAGGAACACTGGGGTTGGCAATCATGACAGACTCCAGATGGAAGCGGCCATCTCCAAGATACCTGCAGAGATGGAAAGAAGCTGGAAGTATGGCGTTGGACAGCAGAAGAGGCCCTTGCTGCCATATGAAAATTGGGAGAAATCATTTTCCATTCTAAGGCCTTGGTTTCTATTATATAAAATAAGGAGTTTAGCCAAGTGTAGAAGCACACACCTGAAATTCCAGTACTCTGGGAGGCCAAGGCAGGAAAACTGCAAATTTAAGACCATTCTAGATGACTTAGTAAAACCATATTCAAAATAAAAAAGGCCTGAAGATGTATCTCAGTGTAAAGGGGTGGGAGTTGACAGGGATGCCTTCAAGACACCCCAACTCCCCCATAGTTATGTAATACAAAATCTAAGAACTGCCTCACCCCAGCCTTCTGGAGTAAGAGTATAGAGCAGATAAGGCTACGGTAAGGTCACTTGGGCCTCTAGAGAGCATAATTTGGAAGCTGGGGGACAGATCCTTACCAGGCTCAATACATATATGGAAAGTGGTGTCCAAGGAGTCCCTTGCCTGAAAATAAGGGTTCAGGATATTCACTGGATACTCTTTCCCAAACCAGCTCTTTGGTCCAAGTACTAAATTATATGAGTAGCTACTGTTCCTTAGACTTGTGCCTTCTGTGTTCTAGGCCTAGACTAAGTATCTGAAATGTATGTGTCCACCAGCTATTAAATAACCTTGGGCCAGCCAAATAGCTCAGCGGATTAAGCGCCTGCAAGCAGGCGCAGGGGTCAGGGAGTTCCCCGAGCCTGCCGTGCTGGCCCTGCCCCTGGCACATGCTGAGATGGCAATTGAGACTAGGCATGGTGGCGCATGCCTGTAATCCCAGCTCTTGGGCCGATGTAAACAGGAGAATCACTATGAGTCCAATCTAGCAGTGAGACCCTGAACACCCTGTAGACCCTTCCCTAAAATACAGGAAAAAAAAAAAAGTAACCTCCAAGACAATGATAGTGTCCCTCTGCCGTTACTCTTTTGTTTTAGGGATAGAAGGACAGTGTCTCACTATGTAGCCCAGGCTGGCCTTATACTTTAAATCTTGCCTTAGTGCTAGAGTACTAGGATTACTAGTATATAACACGATGAATGGCTTTTTAGTATTCCCATTTTAAAGAAAACACAGTTGAGGGTCAGGGATGTTAAGACACCTGCCCAAAGTTAAGCAGCTGTGAAGCACTCTATTTGAGACCTGCTGCCAGCCTATACCAAGAATGCCCTAAAAGATGCTATCCAACAGTACCTTTCCAAGCCGTGGAAAGAGCACAAAAGTTAATCTGCTTGTGTTAGCCATTTCTTTCTCCCTTGGCGATCACACTTCAATTGATGAATAGTCAATACTCATAGAATCCCTCCCCCAACACATACCTGGAAGCCCCCAAGGGAAGCATCTAGGACCTCAGGGTTATAGAGGCATAGACACACAGGGAATATCCCTTGGGGAGCACAGCTGACAGGCCTAGAATGGGGAGGGCCTGGATGTGGCCCTGTGAGCAGAAATGCCCACATGGATGCAGTAGGCTTATGGGACCAGCATCCAAAGCCCCAGGGGCAGGACTGCACCAGAGGGTGCCCCTCCCTTTTTCCCTGTCATTAGTTAGGAATGGGGCTCTCCTTCCCAGTCCCAGGTGGGGGAGCTGCTGGCTCTGAGGCTGGCTGCATTCACACAACATTAAGCATTTCCATTACCTAAAATAATTAGGCAGCAGGAGACACGCTGCTCTTGCTTGTTAGTTGTCCAGATACTAAATTAATGGGGCTGCAGTCTGGGCGTGCCCATCCATCTTCTCCAATTATATTCCCACCATTTCTGTCCCATCCTCAACCCCTCCCCAGCAGGCCCTCTGATTCCTGTCCTCAGGCACAGCCTTCTGATGGTGGACAAAGCCTGGAGAGAGACAGCAAAGCTGAAGTCTAGTTCCTATTTAGTCCCATCTTGGAGGTGCAGCCTTGACACAGGTAGGGAGATTTTTTAGAATCAGTTTCCTTTCCTGTATGACGATCTCAGGCTGTTTCCCAGGATATACTTCTAAAGTCTCTCTGACACGGTCCCCAGTTTTTACTTACACAATAGCGTTTACCTCCTTGGACAGTCGGGGGGATGTGCAGCCCAGAATCTCCCCAGGGGACAAGGGTTTGCACTGTGGGACACTCACACGATACTCAGCTTTCAGCTGCTGGGCAGCTGCCTGTAGGGATAATGAGGGAAGGGATGCAAGTGGCTCAGGAAAGGGGGCTAGGGGCAGAAAAAAAGTATAGACCACCTGGCATGGGGATCCAGAAACAGGCTGGACAGTGGCCATCATCTACCCCATGAGATGCTAGGGATTCTCACTTTACTTACCTGTAAGGTTGACACAAATTGAATGGTGCTGACTAGGGCAAGAGCACTGTCTGGAGGGAAGGTGAGGCGGATAGAGTCCAGGAGGTGGGCAGTGTCTATCCGGATGTCCACAAAGACATACAGCACCCGGAAGTCTTGGACTGAGATATCCATAGGAACTTGGGGGAAAGAAGAATTGAGGTAACTATTTTTGGAAGGCAGGAAGGTACAGAACTTGCCCTGGACTCTGGTCTCTGAGCAGCTACAGCTATGGCTTCAGCCTGGTGGCAGAATGAGGAAGTGGGAAAGGAAGGGTTCACAGGTACCCTAGAAGCTCCTTCTCTGTCACTCAGCTGGGGGCCCAGCTTGCTGTACCACCACAAGCCTTTCAAACATACACATCTGGGACAGTAGCATAGTTTCCAAGGCAACCAAATCTAAAGGAAAGATCTACCTGCAGAGCAGGAAGACCAAGGCCATCCCAGAAACCAGGAGACTTGCCTATGGTAAGTTTGTAAGTGGGACAAGGAGATATTGGGATAAAGATCAGCGTGCAGCCTACTTCCCTACCAGTCCAGGAGTCCTAGCCCACCATACCCAGACAGCTGTGGCCATAGTGCACCAAGAAGTCCACTCCCAGGGCCCTTGCAGTGAAGTCATCCACACAGCAAGCCCCGTAGGTCACATCACCCATCACCATCACTTCAGCCTCTGTGAATCTGCAGGGGTATGAGTGGGGAACAATTGGGCAGTGACAGGAAGAATGAGGTGGGAAAGCCTTAAATCCCTGGAGGTATCTCAAGGCTCAGCTCCTCTCTCCCCTCCCCTCCCAAATCCTTGGGTTGGCAGCTGCCACTTCTGCTAAAAAAAAAGAGTAGGAGGGGCGCAGCTGCCACCTCCCTCAGCCCTGGCAGCAACTCCTGGAACAGTTGCTGCATGAGGATGTCTGTGCAGCACCCTGATTCCTCAGCCCAGGCTCAGACTGCAAGAAGGACCCCCAACCCTCAGGCAGGTATGCATGGGCACCAACACAGACCCTCAAGGCCGGGACTCATCCCACCCAGGGTAGTGGGCACATGTACACATGCAAATGTTCCTCTCTCACACCCCAGCATTGTGGCGTGTGTGCATGGAAGTATGGATACTCAGCCTCCCTCTTGCCTGGACCCCTTCTACCTCCCCACCCATAGCAAGGTCTTGGGTACCCAGGATGAGGGGACCTATGTGCAGCTCCCCCACAGCACATGGCACCACCCACACGCCTCATGCGTCAGGAAGAGTGGGCTCTGGCCAGCACAATTCCTTGGGATCTGCTGCCAGGCCTGAATCACAGGGGGACTGGGGTGGGTGGGGAAGACCCCGTAGCCTTTGAACTCACCAAGAAACAAAGCAAGAGGCCAAGCTCTTAAATACAAAACCCACAACTGGAGCAGGGATCCTGGCTCTATGACTAGGCTCCCTCTATTCCTCTCCCAGGGTGTGGTGGGGGAAGGTAAGTTGCTGCCAGGCAGCCCTCTCCTCCAACCCTTCCCCAAATCATACTGCACAGAAGCAGATTATTCAGCTCCTTAGAATGCAGCCCAGGCTCTGAGTCAGCCAGAGCACTTAATTTTTTATAGATTAAAATGTATGCAAATTGGCCTGAGCCCCAGAGAGCATCCCCAAGGGGCAAGAGGGTGGGAGCAGGGAAGTGGGTCTGTGGTGGAGGGAAGGGGAAGTAGAGTGGGGGCAGGGCAGCAGCAGGGGAGTGGGAGGTTCTCAGCAGGAGATGACCTCCTCTTCTCTCTTCATTCCCCCTCCCTCTGCATGTGCTGGTTCCAGATGGCTGAGCACTCACCCCCCTCAAGGATGGCTCATTGTATTAAAGAAACTTAGAATGAGCCAGGGTAAAGGGAGTGAATACCTTTCCCTAGGCATTTTCACTCCTGCCATCCAGTGCCCAGCTTCCCTAAATGTACCTGAGAAAAGACACCACCACTGTCACCTGCCCCCCAAGATCCCCCTAGCTGGACACTTCAGCCCATTTTAGGATCACCTATGAATATGTTTAGGTTCCTCCCCAGGTCCTACTACCTGCTCTAGGCCTTGAAGAGAAAAACAAATTTCTTCTCATCCTAATTTTCTAGCTGAGGGGAAATGTGCACAGATAAGCATGGTTCTCAATAAACTAGGATTTTTGTTTTGGGGTTGCTCCCTTTGTGTATACATGGGTGGTTGTGGGAGCAGAGGGGTGAAGACAGAGGTCCAGAAGGGAAAAACATGTCAACAGGCAGGGCTGTAATGAGCAAGGAAAAGTCTTAGCCAGCTTCCTCTCCAGTACCCCTAGTCTCACCTTTCCAAGATATCCACAATGGTGCAGGCAAAGAGGAGGAGCCCTTCTGGCATTTGCAAGGCCACTGCAAGACAGAGCAGAGACATAAGAGGCAGAGACAGAACAGACTGTGGTAGGTACACTGCCCATCTCTGGGCCAGACATTTCCCTTCTCCAGCTTAATATCAAGGCTCACCCTTTTTGGCCTGGGCTTGTTGGATCCTCCAAATGGTCTTGGGGATCTCAAAGTTGTAGTTGGAAGGTAGGGCTTGGATGGCTGCCTGTAGCTGGGGGTTGTTCAGGATCTCAGCGGGGATCTGATTGGCCAAGCGGCCCCGAGTGGCCCGACCTGTAACAAATACATACTAAGTCTGAGTCTGTATCTGGCCTAGACTATAGACAGACTCAGCTAAACTGTCAATCCTCTAAATTTAAGGGCCAGATCCCAGATGTCAGTGAGGTTGGTCCAACTTTTTTCCCAATAAATTCCCTGAAAATAGAGAAGCAGCCCATGAAACTAAGAGGAAATCTATACAATTAATTTTTACAATGTGATTATTGGGAATCAAAGACTAAAAGCCATGATGGGCATGGTTCATGCTTTACCTCAGGAGAGTAGAGGTGACAGCAGGGGATTCTGGAAAATTCTATACTACTGCCCCATGAAAACCCAAGAGTCTCACCAGTCCAACCAGTCTGGGAAAATGTCCCTCTAATCCCAAGAACACCTGATAGTGCTGAGGTCCTAGATGAGAGAAAACTGTTACAAGTACTATTTCTTTAATAGAAATACTGTACAGTATTTCTTTAATAGACTGCTGACCTTAAGAATCAAAGACTAATCGGTTAATTCTTGTACTTTTTTATACTTTCTTTCCTCTCATTTAAAAGTGAAACCAACACCACACACTGAATGGATTTAACAAATTCCTAATCTCATTGTTCCTCTTAGCCCCACCCCAGGAAAGATACAGGGTGGATGCTAACAACAAACCCTTGATTAAAGGAAAAAATGTCTGTGCTCTTTGCTAAAACTGTAGTCTCTAATCTGTACTGTTTTCTTTCTTTTTTTTGCGGAACCAGGGATTGAACTCAGACCCTTGCGCTTGCCAGGGAAGCGCTTATTCCACTGAGCCATCTCCCAGGCCCCATGTACTGTTTTCTAGAATAGTTTAGCTCAAACCCTTTGTACAATATTTTTTTTCTAATCAGATTTTTTTGTACAATGTAGATATAAATAATGATCATATTCATCATAGAGAATTTGTACCATGGGGCCAGGGAGATGGCTCAGTAGAATAAGTGCTTGCCTGGCAAGTATAAGGACCTGAGTTCAATCTCCAGTTCCGCAAAATAAAAAGAGAATTTGTACCTTGTACAGTATTTCTTTAAGCAATAGTTTGGGAATGTGAAAGGGTAAGAAATTATTCAATGAACGTTTATTGAGCCTGTATTATATACCATATAATAGTATAATATTATATACCATTATATACCATACCTTCTGCTAAGTTCCTTATAATAGACAGGATCCTCCCAGACCTATGCTTGAACCCACCAAATATGGGAGGAGAGTTGAAGAGATAGCTCAGAGGTCTAAGTGCCTGCAGATTGGGGTTCAATCTGATCCCCCAGTACCACATGCCATGCTGGCCTCACCTCAGGTGCACTGAGCTAGCCACCAAGACCGGGTATGGCTGAAACTGGAGGATCACTACGAGTCTGAGCTGCATAGTGAGACCTTGTACCAAATACATTTTTTAAAAAATTAAAAAAAAAAAAAAATATATATATATATATATATATGTAGTGTATGGGGTGTCAGGAGGCTGGGGCGCTGAGACCAGATTTAAATGCTACACTTGGTTTTGGGGTAGTTGTTTCAGGGTCTTGTATATACAATAAGCCCAGTTCTCTTGGTCCATGTACAAAACCTCTTCTGACAGGCCCAAGTCCTTTGTGGTCTCTGGGATATGGGAGTTGTTGTTGGTTTTAGCAGCTCTATGAATTCCTAGATCCCACAGGCATCTCTTTTATCACGGGGCTGTCATCTTCTGTTTAGGTCAGTATGTAACAGTTACATTAGCGAGACTGAGATCCTCGGGGCAAGGCTTACATTGTAGTCCAAACGCAGGCCTGGCACTCAAAGGGCGCTTGGCTGGTGCCTGGTGAGTGACACCACACTCTTCCCAGGAAGCATTTCCTCAGAGCACTCTGGTGAAACTCCCGCAGTAGCAACCAGGCAGGCCCCTTTCCTCCCTGCCCAGTCTTACTTGTCGACCTTCTCGTGTCTGTCTACCAGCCAGGTCAGGGGGTGTTTTCTGACCTGAGGACTACAAGCTCCTCAGGAGGGACTGCTCTCAACTGCGCCTACGGCTTGGAAAGCAAGGACCGGTCCCCTGGGCTCTGGTGAGAGCGGCCCAGAAAGTAACAGAGACTTCCGGGCCTGGCTGAGAAGGGGCCCTCAGCCATTAAAAGATTCGTCCAGTTCCTGACTTGGGGCCCTCATTCCGAGATGTGAAGTCTGGAGGCCGCAACAATGCAGCACCCACCTCTGCCAGGGCCGTTACGGCTGCCCGGCTCCGCAGCCTCAGACACGACTAGCGCCGCCATCGCCCGCCTGCCCACGTGGGAAGCAAAAAGGCAGCGTTGGAAGACCGCCGAGTGTGCAGACAGTGCGATCGATCGCCGATCAGTCGGCGAAGGGCGGGGATTCTCGCTGGGTGGAGGAAAGGAGGAAATAGGGGCGGGACAATAGTGCTCAGCCCAGAAGGTCTGGACTCATCTTTAGTATCCCTAGTGGTCTCGGACCAGTTGCAGTTGTCCTCTCCCTGCGACCCTGTCTACCACCCTCTTCCCCGACCTGACATAAAGCTGACATTTCCAAAACAATGGAACTGACACTTCCAAAACAATGGACCCCCACGTACCTGCGGAGGTGAGCTCTGAAGTTCTCCCTGCTGCTCCCAATTCTCATTCCCTTTCTGGTAAGAAGGACTGTGCCTGCTACTCTGGGGAACCACATTCCCGACCTCAGAGGACCTGACTGCCGCAGCAGGACCGAACTTAGCACCCACCCGCCCAGTTGCAAGTTGAGAGCCTTGATGTGGGTTTCTGGAATGTCCCCAGTGCCTTTCATCACTGTTAGCGCTCATGGTAGACAAGATTCACACAGGAGAAACTGCAGCTCCAGCAAAGGCAGGGCACCTGAGTGTACTTTCCTGGAAAGATAAGGCAGCTTGAGGACTCTATTGTGTAAACCTTCAGGATTTTGGACATATTTTGCCCTGCCTAGGCTGCTCCTCAGGCTTAGCCTTTCTCCTGCTAATCAGTGGCCAGATTTCCTAGGGCCTGAAGTATAAAGCAGAGAAGCCAGTGAGACAACCCTGACCTTTGAAGAACAAAATACCTATGGAACTGGCCCTCAGCAAAATCTGCCACAAGGAAAAGCTGTGTTCCAGAGCTGTTTGCCTACACAACCCCCAGTCCCTGCCACCATCTTCCCTGCTGCCCCCAGTGCTGTGAGCATATCTGGCCCTTTAAGGCAACTCTGTGGCCTCAGGCTCCCCTGGAGGCCCTTCCTGCTTGGAAACCCCTAATTAAGGTACTGGGGAGACCTGCAAACAAGCAGCCAGGGACAGGCCCTGCCTAGGAGGCTGTCCAGAGAGGAGGGAAGCTTAGGCAGGCTGGTAGTGAGCAGCCCAGGAGAAGAGCTAAAGTCAGTGCTCTGCCCCTCAGGCCACTAGCCTTAGCAAAGATAACAGCCTGAACCAGTTTGTGGCCAGCACAATCCCAGGAACACCTGCCTCTGTCATCTTGACAAGAGTCAAGTGTGCATTTCTCATTTCCTCCAGCCTCTCTGGAACTCTACAGTGCACTATCTGAACTTTAGGATCCCAGTTCTTCCCCTCAGCATTCCAAGACCCAGCCAGTGGCCAGCGTTAGTTCTGGATTCAGCTTCGAGTTCCAAAGGAAAGCTTGGCTCCAACAGCAGTGGCTACCTCCTAGCAATGCTCTATCCCTTAGGGCCTTTCCCTATCAGAGCTGAGACCTATTCATGAGGCTTACACTAAGCCCCCTTTCTCTTACAACATTGTCCCATGTCTCTGTCCTGCAAGAACAGCTCTCGCCCAGAAGGGCTGGTGATGCCCAGAACTGGACACCAAGAATACATGTGAGACCTGCAGTGCAGGACACTGGGGGCTGCCATTTTACTTGGGTTGAGGCTATCTCCTGCCATTGGGGGTCTCTCTTCCTGAGTTACTCAACTGTTTGAGTAATTACCACCTGACAAAGAAGGCAGGCACAGTGTACACCCCCCCCATTGCACCACAACACCTGCCTACAGTCGCCCCCACTTCCTGGCTGGACTCCAGCAGCACCAGGCCCTCCGGAGGCCTGAAATAACTCTGCTTCTTACACTCACGCCTCCCAACTTTGCCTAGGATGTTGGAGTTTGTGGGACAGGGGGTCATGGGGAGGCGGTTTGGGGAGGTGCAAACAATTAGCATACCCTGATTCTGGCCTACACTTTATCACTGATCTGCTGTGTGACACCAAGCAAGTGTTCAGCTTCTCTGAGCTCTAGTATTATAGAGGACCTCTGCAGTTCTCTATGTCCTGGAGTTCAGCTCTGGTATAGGCAAGGTATGGGGCCAGTGCAGGATTGCAGGAGGTAGGAATAATAGAAGAAATGTTCTACCCTCTGTTCCCACCCCAAAAGGGTCCAAACTGAGTAATCTGCCAAAAGAGGCATTTACATACTCTGTACACCCTAAAAAATGAAACAAATCTAATGAAATATTTTTTTAAATTTTATTTATTTATTTATGTGTGTGTGTGTGTGTGGCCAGCTCAGCCCACCAGGGGGCGGGGTTGGCTGGCATGTGGTGCTGGGGGATTGAACCGCGGTCCCTGTGCTTTGCTAAGCTTGTTCTTTTTTTTTAAACTTTTTTTTTAAATATTTATTTATTTTGTGTGTGTGTGTGTGTGTGTGTGTGTGTGTGGCCAGCTCAGCCCACCAGGGGGCGGGGCTGGCTGGCATGTGGTGCTGGGGGATTGAACCGCGGTCCCTGGGCTTTGCTAAGCTTGTTCTAAGTAGGTGCTTTAGACCACTGAGCCATCTCACCAGCCCCTGCTAAGCTTGTTCTAAGTAGTTGCTTTAGACCACTGAGCCATCTCACCAGCCCCTAATGAAATATTTCTTTAAATATTTTTTGGGGGCTGGGGAGATGGCTCAGTGGAATAAGCACTTCCCTGGCAAGCGCAAGGGCCTGAGTTCAATCCCCGGTTCTGCCAAAAAAAAAAAAATATATATATATATATATATATAATTTATTTATATATTTAAGTACAGAGTCTCACTACACAGCTCAGATTCATGGTGATCCTCCTGTCAGCCTCCCCAGCACTGGGGTTACAGACAAGAGCCACCATACATGGTTTTGGTGGCCAGCCTAGCAGGCGGTACTGAGGATCAAATTTGGGTTTATTTGGTACAGGGATTACAGGGTCTCGCTATGTAGATCAGATTTGTAGTGATCCTGTTTTAAGCCTCCCAAGTGCTGAGATTACAGGTGTGCACCACCATACCCAGTCTCAGTCTCAGTGTGCCCCTGGGGCCGGCCAGCAGGGCACATCCAGGATTTGAACCTGGCCACTGCGCTTTGCCTAAGTAGGTGCTTTTGTCCACTGAGCTATCTGGCCGGCCCACACTCGGGTTCTTGCACTTGCCAAGCAGGTGCTTAGATGGCTGAGCTATCTCCCCAGCCCAAGGATTTTTTTGTTTATTTGGTTTTACTTTTTGGTTTTTTGTGGTGTTAGAGATCACAGAGGGCAAGAACTCTACCACTGAGCCACATCTCCAGCCCCTAGTTTTGTTTTGTTCTTAGTTTAGATGTCACCTGCACAAAGCAGCTTTCCCAGGCCCTATGTCAGCTCCAGAACAATATCCCGCTTTTTTTTTTCCTTCCAAAGATCATTATCATCTCCTCTGGACCTTTTTCATTTGATCCTATTAGAATGTAAACTCCAGGAGGACAGCGACTTTGTCTTATTAGCTAAATTTTCGGAAATAGTAGCTCCTCACATAATTATAGAGGGAGTGACTTGTTCTGTTTTTTCTCCCCCTGAATCCCTCCCATCCCAGACCAGTAGGGGGTGCTGGCCTCCAACCAGGATCTTGTTGGCTTCAACCTTCTCTACACCCAGCCCTGTGGGCCCTGTGTGGGACCGTTTACTAAGTGGTGCCTCCTCCATTTTCTGCGAATCTCGGGGCGGGGGTCTGAGGAGATCAGAAGCCACCCTCCTGTAAAATAGCCCATTGGAACCCCACACTTGTCCTTCCCTATGGAGTTTGCACTAGACCTCCCCGAATGCTTGCTGCCCCGCACCTCTCCCCTCAAAGAACCGTGTCCTAGGACGCGAGATGGGGAATGTCTGGGTTCGCTGGAGCTGTTTTTTGGGGAAAAAAACAAAAAACAACCGTCGAGCTTCGGAGGGGGAAGGGGCACCGGGCTTCGGAGATGTGGCAGGGGTGTGGACTTGTGACCCGGACTCTGGGCGGCGGTCGTCGCGTCCCAGGCGGTCGGCTGGGCGCACGCTTCCAGCCACTCTCCCGATGACCTCCAGCCGGGAAGGGCGAGCTGGCGGGGGCTGGGCTGCGAGTACGGGCTCCGTGAAGCCTGCGGGGCCCTGAGGGGCTTTCAAGTGGCCCTCAGACCGGCCGGGGGCCTGGGGCAGGTAGTTGGACGGACTTGGGCCGAGAACCGTCCCCGGGGGGAGCGCATCGAAAACACCTTGGGAGGCGGCGCCGCAAGGCTGAGCGCCGCTGCCCTGGGAATAGGACGGCGCTCGGCACCGCGAGCTGAGAGCACTTTCATAAATTTTGTATGGGAGGCGCTCCGTGAGCGGGGGCGGGGAGTGGAGCGGGAGGGAGGGAGCTAGCGAACGAGCGAGGGAGGGAGTGAGGAGGAGAGGTGGGGGAAGCCGGGGGGGAGGAAGGGAGGCGCCCCGCTCCGCCGATCTCTCAGTCCTGCAAACGCGCGCCGGGCGCTTTCCCCGGAGCTCGGCTGTGCTTGCGAGCGCCCTTTTGCAGCAGTCACCGCGGCTGCTGCCCGAGGGGGCGGAGAGGAGGGGCCCGCCGCCGGCTGGCCGGCCGGGGGGCGGTGTCCTCCATCAAAACCTCCTGCAAAGTGCTCCGGGAAGCAGAAAGAGGCCGCCGACTCCGTGGAGCAATCGGTTTGCCCCGGGGCTGAGCGAGCGCACCGAGCTGCCAGGCAGAGCCTCGGTCGTTGGCGGGCGCCGGTGCCTTCGGCGCGGGGCTCGGGCTCACCATGCCCCTGAGGGGCCGAGCCACCGGGCACACTCGGATCCCGGGTTTGCCCCCGCCTCGACGCGCTCGGATTAGCTGCAGCTGGCGCCCAGGGATTTGAATCTGGATCCCGAGAGGGAGCGCGCCTAGGCCGACCTCG